AATGGGGTATATGCCATGGACTTCCGTTTTAGCACTTCCGCATTTTTTAGCCACATAGAATGCTTCCGGTGCGCAGGCAGCAGTATGTTAACAGTGGCTCCTCAGTCGTTGCAGGACTATTAATGATGCCTATAAAATTATTCAGACGTCCTGAAACGCTCCAACAACAACAAAGGATTTAAGCTGGATGTGTCAAAACTTCACAATAACTTCAAAGGTAAGTTAATAAATCGTTTGTATTCACCATAATGCCTCATGTCTGACGTAGCTAACAGGGACAAGCTTACAAAGGTGCTATGTAAATGTTAAGTGTTTTGATTATCTGTGCAGTGTGGAATCTACATATCTATGCTTTATAGATATAGATATATATCTATATAAACATATATAGATCTGTCTATATTGTGCCCCAGCTATCAGTCGAAGCTGAAGTTAGCTTCCCAATGTAGCATCTAATTCGGAAAATAGCTAAAGGGCGATTACACTTAATTTTTCACTATCTTGAGCTTTTTTAATGTGTTGTACTTTAAAAACTACAACACCTAGTCATTTCAAACCTAACTAGATTATTCTGTACTAACAGCAGAATAAATAAAACATTTGTGAAACCTTCTAATTGATTTGTGAAATTTGTAAAATATCAATAATAGATTCCAGAACGCCTTAGATCTGAATTATTAAAGTGGCATTGTTATTTTAACTTTCCGTTTTCTTTCTTTTTTTAAAATCTTTATCATAGTTGGAGTTGGACAGAAGTTCTGTTTCATGGCTTCCTGGAGGGAGAGATCGGCTCAGCTAATGTTACCAACAACTTTTCTCCTATTAACATTTTTGTTTTTCTTTATATAGAAAGTATTTCTATCAGTTGCTTTTTCCATTTTGTTTACAGTATTTGCTCTATTTTTTATTTTTACCTTAATGCTTACCTGGTCAGTTGAGGTGGAAATGTACATCCTGTTGATTACTGACAAATGTCAGAACCACATGGACTGAGCTGGTTAGTCAGATCAATCTGAATCTTTATTTCTCATTAAAACGACTTCTTGTAATTTTAAGACATTGTTATAAAATTGCATCTTTATTCTGCTGTAACGATGACTGCATTCTTGCAATTAAAATTTCTTGTATCCTGACCGTAATGCTCCCTTATACAACTCACAGAACAGATGATTGAAATAAAGGCACTTTTTGAAAGTATTTTCTGTGGTTTTATTGTAGAAATTGAGGGCAGGAGGAATCGATTAAAATCAAATCTGGTATGAAAAAGACTCTTGTAAGTCACATCATCCAGGTTATTCAGTATATTAAATTATATGACTAACTACATATTACTTAATATTCACATTTCTTTGCTGGTATTACCTAAAAGTGTTGCATTTTAACATCTCACTTTAATTCCTGATCTACATGTAAATACTTGATATAACATAAAAACTGAGAAAAGGAAAAAAAAGGTTTGTAAAATGTAGAGTATTACAAATGATATTCAATTTTATTGTAGGTACAAACAGGATAACAAAATGAACAGTGAATATATAATATACTTTCTAGCAGCTAATCAGACGTCAGACTTGTTCGCCTTTACTGGTGATGAAAACTCGTCACTCTGGAGGA